GATTGCCTAGCTGTCGTTTTTTTTTTTTGTAAAAAATTCTTGTTTAAAAGAAGCTATTGTTAATCAAAATTTAAGAAAATCAAATTTTTAATTTGGTTTGAAAACTTCAGATTTATTGGAATTTAAACTATGAGGATTTCATGTTCATAAATAGAGAACTCTTACAAATTACAATGTAAAAAAATTGAAACAGTTTCAAAACAAGACATGAGGCTTTGTGCTATGCTGCACAATATGATTTTATTCTAATATATTTTTTTGATTGTGTACTTTAATTTTTTGAAGTGATTGGCATTTTTTTTTAAGCCAAAATCTATTAATGTTCAAAATTAAACATTCTCATTCTTGCACCATTCTAATTTTTTAAAAACCTTTCATGTCGCAGCCTTAATATAAATATATATGCAATTTACTGATGATAGAATTATATTTTAATTTTTTTTTAACAAAACTGGTAGGGTTATAATTGTGTGTGCAAGATCAAATGCTTTTTATAGTCAGATTGGTGTAAATTTTTGGTGACTAATACAGCAGTCGGGATCCTGATTCTAAAATTTACCTGTTGGGCTCTGGAAATCCCAAAGAGCCTTTTTCCAATTAAGTAATCATTGAAATAAGCTGAGGAAAGAATTTTTTTTGTTAATGTTGTAAAGATCTCTGTCTCTGATCAGTGTAAGTTGTGACCAATTTCAGTTTGGGTTGAAATTAGTTCTGCACCCGTTTTTTGGTGCAAAAACCCTGGGCAAAACCAGACTGAGAAAAATTTTTTTTAAAATTTCAAATTTAAAATTTTAATTTTAATTAATGACTCATAAGTTAATTCCACACAAAAATATGGGAGCTAGATTGTCTTATTCAGACAAGCCAAAATGGCATTGCAGGTGAAATAAAAGGAACTTTTGTAACCCACACCTTTTGGGGAAATTTTTTGGTTTTCTTGCCAATTTTTTAGGAGGAAATTTCTAATTTATAATTGATACCTGTGACATATATCCATTTCAAAAAATTCTCTCTCCGATTTTGGTTTTCCAGCACCAGACAAAAAAATGCCCATGCCAGTTTAGGTGAATGTCAATAAATGCAAGGTCATCATTTGCGGTTCAGACAGATGTTGTTTTAAACATCGAGACAACTGTTCAAAAATATTATTTGACAGACTTTTTTTTTATGAATGTACCTCCAACATAAGCCATTTTATAACCACTTAATTAAAACCAGCTGACGTGTCAATTCAAAATTTCTAAGATTTTGGGTTGGGTCAATAATTTAAGACTATAAACAAGCATTGTCTTCAAAAAAATGTATATAAAAGCATTTATTTTTATTCAAATTATTTTTTCCTCGCTTCTTTTCTCCACTGGGTCAACCCAATATGATTCCTGATGATGATTTGATCATTGCCAGATCAAAACTAAACACAATGTGGCAAGGTTTGGATCAAAGCAATCAACTCATCAATCAGCCACAGGGATTGGACATTTAGATAAACCAGCTGAGAAGAAGCCCACCCACACAGTGTTCACATTCCTTGTGGAAATGGATCTTAGGTTCTCTGGCCATTACAGGCTGTTTGTTGGCTGCTTCGCACTGTGTCCATTTGTTATGATGCCATGTGTACATCTACAGTGATTGTGGGCATGCAGAGAGCACATGACAAAGTACAAATCTCTTTACAGGACATAATGAAATTTATCAGTGTATGTTTACTTGAGGTTGATCGCATTTGGTAAATGTGTGGCAGGAGGAATGATATTGTGGGGAATGGGTGGAACCATTGCAATCAGGGTATTCCATGATTATCGCTTCAAAAAATTATTTGATATCATTTTATGTCCAAATAATTGTTTTTGAACTATGAAAACAGGAGTTCACTGTTTTCATTTTGCTCTTCAATTATTTTTAATTCCTGATTTCTTCAATAATCATGTTGTGATTTTCCTTTGGACTATTTTTTGGAAAAAACTGATTGTTTTTTGCATATAATTACCAGCTTGATTGTTTATATATATATAATAGTACCATAATCTCCTTATATTCACATATTGCTGGATTCTGCTTCTTGGGTGGTTTCTACAGCCGAATTATTTGGTGCCATATTGATATATATATATATATATATATATTGGGGTGAATATTCATTGGCAGTTTCTTTTCATCATGTGAAGCAAATATTTTCCAACCTTGAACTCCTCCACCAATGAGAAATCTGGGAAGTTACAAGTTAGAGCCCCTTAGAGAAGTATTTCTTCCTTTCCATTGGTCAATTATTTTTTTTTACTTGTTTTATACACTGCTTGTCTGCTGAATAAGAAAGTTAACAGTGTTAATATCACACACCTATAATGGCTGCAGAAGCCGGGCAGCAAGCCATGTTGGTAGCAATAAGCCTTCATTTGCCGGGGAGATGGGTCCTGTCGATGGATTCAAGTCCATCTAGTGCCAATCTCTATAACTCTTTATATAACGGTTTTGATCAAAGTGAAATTTCATTCCAAATCATCCGAGGCTCTTCATCAGGATCAGGTCACCCCTTTCAGAAGTGAATCTCCCTTTTGCAGAAAAGGAAAATAATAGCAATGATAATCTCCAGCCTTTCTTGGAATTTTTCCTTTATTTTCACCCATGTGAAGGAATGTAATAATATATTTATATATATTCATCAGTACCATTTGTAGACAGGGCCAAAATGGTGATGTTATCCATGAATGCTCTGGAAAGAGGAAAAACCATTGGTTCCTTAGTCATCACCGTCTTTGCCGTTTCCGCTGCACCCCATAATATGAGTTTCATGGACTTAGTGAAAAGAAGTGGTGAAATCACACACTGTCATGATGCTGACCTTGAGAGGTTGCCACTTAAATTTATGTTACCAATGGTAAACTGCAGAAAAGATATTTTTTGTCCTATAAATTAAAATTCATTATGATTTCCACAAATATATATATATATATATATATATATATATATATATATATATATATATAGTAGCGTCCAAAACTAAGGGACAAAATTTTAAAACCTAATATTTGTTAGAAATAACTGTGAAAAGCTGAAATTTTGACAACTGGTAGTCATTATCATCTATAATAACATACTAAAATTTGAATCATTTGCAAAGGATCGAAAAAGAATTATAACAATTATTTATTTATTTTCAAAATAGGATCGTCCAAAAGTAAGGGACAAAATTGAGAAAAAACAATGTAAACAGTATGCTATATTCAAATTTTTTGATTTCCTCTAAAGAATAAGTCTTACTTAGTCATTTGTAAACGTTGCATCATCTTCGGCACCATGAACGAAACAGTTCTTGAAATCTTGATTACTCTGTTTAGACCATTCTTGTTGAAGCTACACAAGGAAAAGCACACCATTAGAGAGATTTCAGAGAAATAAACGTTCCAAGGTGTTGTAAGGCATTTTAAATCCTGGAATGATACTGGCAAAATAGTTAGTGCTTTTAAAACCATAAGACCCAAAAACTTCAGCAAGAGAAGATCGAATAATGCAGCTTTGTCATTAAATGACCGTTTTAAGTCTTGCACAAAATTAAAAGGGTTATGAATAACCTCATGTGTTAATGATTAAGACAGACTGTTTGAAGATGACTTTATAAATCTGGCTGTTTAATCGAACCCCAACCGGAAACCACTTGTTAGTTCCTTGAATAAGAAAAAGAAATACCATTAGAGTTTGCAAACAGTTATGTAATTTGGACATATGAAAATTTTGCAAAAGTATTTTTCAGTGATGAAAGCAAGTTTAATTTATTTTTTTCCAATGATGGAAAAAAACAATTAAACTTGACGTCATTGGTGAAAAAAATATTAAGTGCAAAGTGTTCTAAGAAAACTGTCAAGTTTGGGGGCGGAAGCTCTTCATGGTATTTTCTTCGAACTTTCTAAAAAGGTTTCAACCCTCTTGTCCGGTTACAAACTCGTTAAACGCAAAAGATCTATAAAAACATTGTTCAAACATCATGTTGTACCAATCATACAGAATTCAATTTCGATAGGGCTACCTTTTATGCAAAATAATGCCCCATGTCACAAGGCAAAGGTGGTTATTCGTTACCTTAGCGAGCAAGATTTGGAAATTATGGATTTTAAAAGCAAAGTCCTTTGACTTAAATCAATTTAAAATCTTTGGAAGACCTTAGAACGAAAAGTTATGGAAAGAAATCCCACTAACACGGAGTGATTTTCCTTGTGAAGCTTCAAGAAGAATGGTCTAAAATAGTATCGAGGATTGTCAAGAACTGATTCGTTCTTGTAGTCGAAGATGTGCAACTGTCATTGAGAAAAGGGCTCATTTACTAAATATTGATTGTACATGTATTTTTAAATTTTTTTATAGCCTGTTTACATTGTTTTTCTCAATTTTGTCCCTTACTTTTGGACGATCCTATTTTGAAAATAAATAAATAAATATTGTTATAATTCTTTTTCTATCCTTTGCAAATGATTCAAATTTTAGTATGTTATTATGGATGATAACGACTACCAGTTGTCAAAATTTCAGCTTTTCACAGTTGTTATTTCTAACAAATATTAGGTTTTAAAATTTTGTCCCTTAGTTTTGGACGCTACTGTATATATATATATATATATATATATATATATATATAAATGGATATAAATATCTGACAATTATTTTTTAAGACATTTTTTTATGTTTATATTTTCTTTTTTATAGATACAAATATTCAAGTAAATGCTCTCTTTATAATAAACAGTATTAACGATATTTACCAGCCTGAATGAAATTGCTAACCAAACGCTCCTCTGTGGCCCAATCAGTAAAGGCACGTCAGGCTATAGGTTCGATTCCTGTCAGAGGACGCATATTTTCTATGAAAATTTCTGACATTTAGGCCAGTAAATGTTAATACTGTTTATTATAAACAGAGCATTTACTTAAATATTTGTATCTATAAAAAAAGAATGTATAAACATACAAAAATGTCTTAAATATATGAGATAAAAACCAAGAAAAGTTACCTATACAGTTCTCCTCATCAGATTTGTCAGGGCAGTCGAATATACCGTTACATCGGAACTTCTCTGCAATACACAACTTGTGTTTTTTGCAAATGAAATGGTATTCATTGCAAGGTCCAGGCATTTCTGGAAAAAAAAAAAAAAAAATTAAGCAAAATAAGAATGTGGAAGAAGAGAAAAAAAAAAAAAAAAAAAAATAAGCAAAATAAGAAAAAAAAAAAAAAAAAAGAAAAAAAACATCCAATGACATTTGCAAATTTTTTTTTTTTTTTTCCAGACATATTGATAACAATTGAAATCCCCATTTAAATCACTCTTCCCCCTTTCTTCAGATTTATTAATCTCTCTCTTCCATGTTGGCAAAAAGCAAGCAGTAGCAGAAAGAGGAGAGTATATAATTCTATTCATAATGATCGAGGCAAAATTGGAGAAAAGAATTGTCAGTTATTTTCCACATTTAAAAGGACTGGTCGAATGACACAAATTAAGATAAACAATTTATATAACACCACAAAAAAAAAAAAAAAAAAAAAAAACAAAAAAAATCAAACCATTAATTGTTGCTGCTATACATCTGGCTAGAGGGGAAAAAAAAAAAAAAAAAAAGATATTGGGGCATGATTTTGCTGTAAAGAAGAGATATAGATGTAAAAAAATGGCACCCTTGAACTTAGGCCAAGCAAGAACATTTCAAAGATTAATTTTAACCAGAACAAGTCTTGTTATGATGTGACAATTTGGAATTTAAGCCTGCTTTTCTTGAAAGGCATGAAGACAGTGTGAGAATGAAAAACACATTATATATATATATATATATATATATATATATATAAATATATGTTGTTGCATTTGGTTCCAAACGAGAGAAAAGTATGTATATTAAAAAGAAGAGAAAATGCAAACGTTTTTGGTTGTAATGTGGATTTATTTAGAAAAAAATATTATACTTTGTTTTACATAATTTTACTACGACACGTGTTTCTGGTCTCAGAGAAGGTCTTCAGGTAAAAGTGGAGATTTCTAAATTATTAAAAATAATTAATTTTTCTTCATGTTCAATGTGAAATGTTCTCGATACGAGACATTCTAAGTAGTTTAGACATTTGGAGAGAGAAATAATGTAAATAATTGGAATTGGAATTAAAAAATAAAAAAGAAAAAAAAGCATTCATAAGTGATTTCTTGTTTTAAGATGTAAAATATTTAGAAGATACATATTTTATTTACTGATTTACTTAAAAATGTTTTTTGTATTTACCCTTAGTTTTTTCTTTTTTTCAATAATGAATATTAATTCGGGAAATCACTTTTCCAAAATAATAATCAAAAATGTTTTTGTCTGGAACCAAGAGTTTTAAATTTAGAGGTTAATTTTATAGGTGACTTTAGAAATTATAAGATATTTACTGGAAACAAAAAAGCCTGGCACAAGGATCAACTCTAAGAGCTTCCAATAAAGATTAAATTCTTTTTGGGGAGAAAAAAGAAAAAATTAATATCTTCTGAGGAATTGATAAATTTTGAATGTTAAAAGACAAATGTAGTGATTTCACAAACACCCCTCGGTATACCAATCACCATGTCCTTGCAGCAGGAGGAAACACTAGACTCCTCAAAATTACTGTTAAATAGAAAAAAATTGATGTAAAAGAAACAATCTGCTCTTTTCACTTATTGACACTCAGAATTCTGTACACAAAAACACGTGCAAAGTAACAAATTTAGTGCTGGCTATAAACAGAAATTCTGATTGTTGTTTCTATAAAGCCAAAATTTGAAAATATTTGAAAGAAACAAAAAAAAAAAAAATCCCAGACAGTTGAATTATTAATTTAAAAAGACTTACTGCCTCAGTTTTATTGTATTCTAAAAGCATTCTGAATCTCTAATAAAACAAAGGGTGTAGAAAAGAAAATTTGATATTAATTTTTCAGATTCACAAAGAAAGTAATCATCTTGAAATGTATGTTAGATGTTAGTAAGCATTTTACAGGGTAGCATTCTGACCTATCTTTTTATAGTCTATAGAAAAATTGATTTTTACAGATTATTGGGAATACTTTGTTGCAATCAGACAATCTATATATTTCTATTCAATATTCTTACTCTTTTTATGACTGAATCTGATCAACTGTTTTTATGTGTGTAGATGTAGGGTGGGAATTTTTTAAAAAAATTAAAAATAATTTTACACTAGTATTTAAATTTACTGGCCTATTTATCCTTATCCGAAATGCTTACCACAGATTATTTTGAGAAAAATTGCGTCATTTTGTAAAACGTAGAAAATGGTAGGCGGAGAATTATGCGTGTATGTATAATTTAAAGTTAAAAATTGTCAGATGGCAATTTCGTAAAATGGAAATATTTTTTTTTTTTTCAAATTTAAATCATATTTTTAAATAAAAATCATCAAAGAATACATGAATTTTCATTTCTTTAAGAATTTTTATCTATCTATAAAAGGCAGGATGTGTGTGTGTGTGTGTGTGTGTGTGTTCAAATTAAATGCAAGGCGCAATTTTCAATGGTTTTACCAAAATTTACATGCACAAATTTAAGTTAGCAGGAAGGAAGACAAGAGGAACATTTAGTACTCCCATCGATAGTGGAAATAATTGATTTTTTTCATACTTCCACGGCAGTTTTCAGGTAGTTTGTAATTTTCTACTGGCCAAAGTGATAAAGATAGCTGGCTGCCACAAATAGGCAGCAAGAATCTATTGGCCAGCAATAGTAATTGAATCAACAGCTGACTTACTGAATTAAATGTTAACATGCTAGCATGCAAAAAAAAAAAAAAAAAAAAAAAAAAAAAAAATCGACAGCTGCATTCGTCACAAGTGGGGAAAAATATTTAAATCTGCATGGCACTTTACTCCAATTGGCTCATTCGCTTGCTTAAACTCAATGTTGATTCTGATTTTGCAGAACTGAGTTAGGTGTGAAAAAGTATTTGTTGTTAACATTTTTTCATTCGGTTTTTCCATTTACGAGTCCTTTTTAAAATGATCGTTTCGTGTTCATTTTGTTTAAGTTCTTTTTTCGTAACAGATTTAATGTTTAGTATAGAGTATAGAAAAAATTTTAGCAGTGTGAGATAAGCAAGAAGTAAGGCATGTAGCAACATCAGCATGGCAAAATAGGACTCCTTTAAAAAATTAGCAAGGAAGGGCAAAAATATTTTTAAGCCATGTGATAGCTGTATGTTAGTCGTACAATTTTTTTTGATCAAACAGGCAACGCCAGGCCATACTTTTTTATTTATATATATATATATATATATATATATATATATATATATATATATATTAGATATGTATGTATGTGTGTGTGTGTTTTCATAAATCAACTAAACCCATCTTTTATACAAGTTTTCTTTTTCTTGTGTTTTTCTTTTTTTCTATTTCTTTTCTGGATTCCATCATCAACATACTCAAACAATACAAATATAATAGCCTCATCAACAAGAAAGAAAACGCTAAAAATAATGGAAGTAATATTAATGAAAAAAAAAAAAAAAAAAAAAAAATCCAACACTCAATAACATCAACTATGAACATGGTCACAATTTGCTGACCATGTTTGGAAAATAAAAACACTGCTATAACTAGATACATAAAAAGAAAAAAATAACTTGAATTTTTAGCTAAAAGTAAAAATAAAATCATCCTTGATAATGACTAAAATAGTCAAAAGTGCATGGATATACAGAACATTTGGACAATTTAAAAAAAAAAAAAAAAACTTAACCAAATTACTGTGTCAGTCATTTTTAACAAAACTAGACTGTGTATGTGTGGAGGTAAGGGTGTTTTACTTTTGCAGCAAAGCGTCTTCCCCCAGTCTATATTTAAAGACTGATTAAAAAAAAAAAAAATATGCCTTAGTCATTAATACCTGGATTATAAAAATATTAGAAGAGCTTTTAATAAGACAATCCATCTAATAAGATGGATCTTTATTTAATATAAAAGTTATCAAAATTTTATATTCTACCACTCAATTTCATTTTGCTCAAAATGAAAATCAAATCACTCCATACTTTAAATTAATATTGGATGAGTTTTTTTTTTTCATTCTTTCTAAGTTTACTGCAATATTTACCAGAGAAATTGAAGGATTGCTAAAACTGGAGTTATCTGGCACTGAAAACGATCAAAGGTGACCGTTTTTAAGCTTTTGCAGAAGATGCTTTCTAATAAGAGATTAATCGAATTTAAATAAAAGCTTCAGTCTGTTTTGATGAAGAGACTTAGAGAAATTAACCATTTTTAATTGATTTAGATTATAAACAGATTAGAATGCTTTTGTAAATGCATGACATTAAGAGTAAATCTTATTTTATAAATGAATTAAAATATGATCTTTTTGGGTACAGTGACATCAATATTGGTCATCATTTACATTAAGACTGCAATAATTATAATAATAATAATGATGATGATAAGAAGAAGAATAAGAAATTATGAACAGAAAGATTAAATGAAAAACAAAATCCTTCATGTACAACAGAATGATAGGATAAAGAAACAAATAGGAAACTTTTATCAATCTAACATGTTTCATTTTTATTAAAGTTGAGTAACCTGATAATAGGAGTTTTTTTGTATAGAATGTTATCTTTTTGAAGTAGTTTCTTTGTCCAGACAAGATGAATTAGGACCAAATATGGATTGGAATCTGACAGAATGATAAGATAAAGAACAAGTAAGAAACTTCTGTCATATTCCAATCCATATTTGAGCATGTTAAATACACTATTTAATTTGTAACATAAAACCTTTTTATTGTTTTTCTCCACCTGTGTTTTGAGAGAGAAAAGAGAGGAATTGGAGGAGGAGAGAGAGAGAGAGGAGGAGAGAGAGAGATAGAGGAGGAGGAGAGAGAGAGATAGAGGAGGAGGAGAGAGAGAGATAGAGGAGGAGGAGAGAGAGAGGAGGGAGGAGAGAGAGAGAGAAAGGAGAGAGGAGGAGGAGAGAGAGATCCTTAGACAAGGAGGAGGAGAGAGAGAGAGAGATCAGGAGGAGGAGAGAGAGAGAGAGAAGAGAGGATAGGAGGAGAGAGAAGAGATTTATGAGGGAGAGAGAGAGAGGGAGGAGGGAGGATGAGGAGGAGAAATGTAACAGGGAGGAGATGAGGGAGGGAGGGAGATGGGAAGGAGGGATGACAGGAGAGGGAGGAGGAGGAGGGAACATCACAGAGGGGGGAGGAGAGAGGAGGGAGGGGGAAAAGAATTAAATGAACTGTCCAATAAATGAATCTTAAAATAAAAAAATAAATAAAAGGGATATAAGCAGGGAGTTAAAAGAGCAAAATACTAACATCCAAAGAAGAAACACAAGAATGTTGATCAGAATTCTATGAAGATTATTCCAATCAAGAGGCGTCAATTCCTGAAAATGAACTAGAAATAAGAAAGGCATAAAGAAACCGATGAATGAGAAATCAAAGTCTTGGCATTGATCAGACTCATGCTGCATTTTTACAGCATGGAGGTGATGCTATTGAAAAGTGTTCTGCTGTCCTTTTTCATTACAATGCCAAGAATGTCATACTTCAAAAGAGGAAAAAAAAAAAAAAAAGCTATAATTGTGATTATAAATAAGAAAGATCTGATTTTAAAAACTACTACTTAATAAGCTTAGCCAAATCTCCAAACTTTTCGTATCAATTCTCAGTAACCTAAGCAGTAAGATAAAGACAGATCTTTGTGCTTACCAACATTACAAACAGCCTATTAGTCAGGCAGAAATGTTACTTTATGGAAAAAACTCCTGAGAGAATGCTTTCTAGACAACTACAAACTTTGTTTCTTTAAGCCCAGGGTCAACTGATATCTATTCTACCTCTCCTCATAATAGTTATTTCCTTCCAACTTCCCTTACATCAATCTCATTCAGTAAGCCTCTACCTTGAGTGGCCCTTGAGGCCTTGTATTGTGTGAACTAACAGTTAAAAAAAAAAAAAAATATGAATTTCATAATGACAGTGACATAAATTCCTGACCCGAGTCTTTCTTCCAAATTTTCAATGCATTTCTATAGTAAAATCATTAGATATGCCTTTACATTCTACATACAACAGCTCTATTTTGTCAGTAATGCTTGTATTAATTCCCGACCTCTGACAATCACTCCTTTCCTGATATTTCAATAAAGAAGAGTGCCAAAATGTGAACAAATTTTTAAGTGGAAAATACAAAATTTGAGGCTTAACTCTTTCCTCCAAAGAAATAGTCTTAAACTGAAATGACAATGCTAATTGATAAAGTGAATATGTAACATTACAAAAAGGTTTTGATGCAGTTGGTCCCAAAATACAAGCATCATTATTATTATGTCCACTAACTATTGTCAGAATTTATTGTATTTATAGAATTGAGTGAATGAAAGTTATAAATCCTACCTGTGATATGAGTGACATTAGCAGTTATAAAATGAGATGTGTGTCTGTGTGTATATATATATATATATATAACGCAACTAATTTACATTACTCTTAACGGACTTAAGTTTAAACTCCCCATCACTTATTAATAACATTGGACACCCACAGTAGAACAACTATTTACTTGAATCCCAGAAAAAACACCTCTGGGGTTTTTTTTTTTATAAGAAACACCACATTGACTGACTGACTCACACACACATACATACATTAATTAATCACCACTATGTTATTACAGACAATTTAGAAATCGCAGCAATGGAACAATTTTGTAATCGATCTATGTAGTCAGTTTTGTGCACTTTTGGGAGAAACGGATCACAGAAGCTTTCTTAAGTCTCCTCAAAGCTCACTTGCTGATTTGTCAATGCCAACCAATCAGATTGTCTGCATGTGAAGAATAACTTTTCTTGCACAGCGATCTGGAGCCTATAGTCACTTATTTAAGCAAGAATTTTTCTTAGCTAATTAGTGAGAATTCAGCTGCCAAACGAATCCATAACAGTTGAAACTATGCACCAACCATCTCACTCACATGCTGAACATACCTTGTATACAATCACATAATCTTTTCTTACACAGCAAAATCTTTTGAGTCATTATAAGAGACTCTCAAACATTCTTCCAGTGAACTTTGGAATACTAGAATAACAGTTAAAGAGAGACAACTCTTGTTTATTTCAACCTTTTTTTTTTTTACTTAAATGCATGCTTTCTTTCACATTGTTGTTTGATATTGTACATCTTGTTAAATACATATTTTATGTGTAACTGTCTTTTGCTTATCATTTTCCGTGTTAGGCCTGTTTCATAATCTAAAGTTAAATTAATGTGGTGAAGTCCGCCACAGCTTTCCCCAGGATAACTTACGCCCAAACCAATCGTTAACACAAACCCAATCTCATTAACAAGGCCACTACGAGAGGAGGACTGACACTGAAAATAAGTTTAAAACAATGCTCCGAGACAGACACTTAGAGACTGATGATATCTGCGTACAGAACAGCTTGAAATTGATTATATGTTGAGGTAATTTTTGTATTTTTTGCTGTAAAAAATACATATGCTCTGTTAAAATAAAAACATTGAGCTCTCTGTGGATCAGTTTTAGTAATTAATATTACTAGAATCCACCTGGATTATGTACCAATGAATTGGTTACCTGTACTATATATATATATATATATATATATATATATAACATGCACACACACAAGAGAGAGAGGCAAGCAAAATTATGAATGATACAGAAGTTTTTTGTTTTTTTTCTTGCTGGTGGTGCAGGATATGCATGGCTTTTTATTATTATTTAATATTGGCAAAGTCAGGTTAGCTGTATTTTATGGATATGCTGTTTAATCATTAATCTAAAAATAACGAGAGAGATATTATTGCTGCATTGTATCAAAAGTCAAACGTAATAAACCCTGCCCTGTATGTTTTCAAATGATTGACAGAAATGGAAGAAAACAAAAGAAGCCCGATTGCAAGCTTAAAACATGATTCATACAAAAAGCATTACAAATATGGGACATTTGAATTACACAGATGGATCGCCTGAAAATAAAAATAAAATAAAAACCTTGTATTAATTTTGTTAACCTCATGAATTAAGCATAGACAAGAGGTTAATGTGAATATTTTGGGTCTGATTAAAACTCAATATGGCTTGATTTACAGAAATGAAAGAAGACAACTAAACAATCTAACAGAAACTGATTAGGACACTGAGACCTTTGATTTGACATGTCGATTATTATTATTATTATAATAATAATTAATAATAATATTATTATCATTAAAAGAAAAAAAAAAATTTTTTTTGATAAAATAAATTTAATGGAACTTCCACTTGTCATAAGAAGTGTCTATTTAAATTCTTTTTACAATTCAATTTGTTTAAAAAAAAATTATTTTTAACAGAGATGAACATACCAAACTTAAAATTTGGCAGTTTTTATTCATTTCACAAAATTTAAATGATAGGGTAGATTTGAAATTAATAATGGGAATGCACCCCTTTTTATGGAAGAATTGTTTTTTTCCTCCTTTTTAGTAATCCAGAGAAAATAAAATTTACTGATTATTATGGGTCATATAAAGTATATTACTACTTATGATATACTGTAATTTCTTGAAAATACACATCCCAACAAATGATCCAAAAAATTAAGAAATATATCTATCCCTGTGTATAATACGCATCTATAAATTTTGTCAAAAAAAAAAAAAAAAAAAAAATTACAAATACATTTTGTCGGCCTTGACATGAATAAAATTGAAACTAAGCAGCAACAAAAGTAAAGAGATGCGTAAAAAAAAAATGGAATGACTGGATGTTTTCTAGTGTTCCCAGTTTTACTGCTGATGGTAACAGGAAAACACCAGGTTTGGAACTTATTGTAAAATGGATTCAGGAATCTTGGGATTCTGAGGATGTTATAAAAAGAGGTTTCAAGAAGTATTGTCTCACGACCGCCATGGATGTCTTTGAAGATGACATCCTTTGGCAAGAGAATAAAGAGGCCAAAGATAATTTTGAACAGGATGAAGATTATATTGTGAATGATAATTTGTTTAATGATAATCTAGATATTGATTCTAGAATAGAAATTGGTGATGATAAAAATTAAAATTTTAATAAATTGTTAACTTGATATCCTCTTTTCTTCAAAATTGGCCTTTTTATAGATTTTTTAAATAAATTTTTTGCCAAATATAAAATGCAGTTACTGATAAACAAGAAATGTTACAATTATTATTGTTGGATTTAAAATGAAAATCATGATATCTTATTTTAGAACAAGTAAGTCTTTATTATTATAAATCAATAACGAAAAAAATACTTTTGTTTAAACCTATTTATAATATGCACTCCTACTATCAACTGTAATTTACAATAAAAAAAATATGTATTATTTTCAAGAAATCACAGAAAGTATATTAATATACTTATAAAGTATATTACTAATTATGTTCCATTATAGTCCTTACATGTCTGAAATCTGTCCTGAAATAGTAAGATTAGTAAATAAAATCAAAATAAGATGGATTCAATTATAAAATAAAATTAGTATAATGCTTTTTGGAGCATTATGGGACAAAAAGTTGTATTACATTTATTTGTACAGGGTGTGGCAGAAATACCTCCCACATAACGTTAGATGAAGAGACCATTGCTACTAATGTCTTACCATTATGTAGGAGGTATTTATGCTGCACCTTATCATGCAATATTGAATGCAACTGCTATATCAACCTGATTGACAGGCCAATTGATTATTGATTTTTTTTTCAGTGGATTGAGAGAATGAAATCAAACAAAAATATTGCCAAATTTGAAAGTTGGATAAGAGTTAGGAGCATAGTGGGTACCTAAAATAGATAATAATTAATATTCAATAATAACGTTTAAGTTAGCAACTAAATATAAAACTAGTATAAATAGGTGTAGATTTCAAATGAAAATCCAACAAGGCTTGAATATTTCATTTGGATAAGAGTCAGTAATAATCCAGTAGGTAGGTTTCCTTTCTTTAATCCCCATGCTAAACAGAAATCCTGTAATGTACAAATGGCTTACACTATGGGGGAGAGAGAGAGAAAGAAGAAAAAAGAAAAAAAAGAAAGACATATGCCATGAGAAGTCTATGAAAGTAATATAGCAAAGAAAACAAAATAGAAATGCTGCATATTATATTTGTAAATGCAATTTGTTGAAGATGATGCAATTCTTGTGCTACATTGG